GTCGCCCCCGTACTGGACCGGGACCGGCAACGGGATCGCAGCCCTCGGTGTTGCTCCCGCGCCTCGCTCAGCCAGTGAGCGGGAACCGGTCCGTATGTGGGATCCGAACCCTCGGCAGGAGCGCTGCCGCGCTTCCCAAGCGGTGCACTATAGCAGTGCGCCACCGGGCCGGCCCGAAAATTTACTACTTTATTGCACCATCAGAAAGCTAACAGAAGAGAAAGTATAAATTAAGACTAGGTATCCTTTGTAGTACTAAATTTAAAAAGTAAAATTTAGTTTAACAGTATGTTAAAATTTTATATTTAACAGACTGGCTTATCTTTTGAAACTTAAGAATTATTAGGTATATTAAAACCTAAAGCATGTGAAGTGCTTTTATATTTTGGTATCCTATGGTGATCACTGATGACTTTGGCATCTTGCTCTGTGAAAACAATATGCCTTTTGGAGAATAAAAGATTGCTAGCATAGTTCCTTTCTTAGAGTGCATAATGTTCTTATGAACCAAAGAAGTCTTGTTTCTATTTTGTGAAACGTGCTGAATTTTCCACTGCAATGATGTGCTATGAAATTTTGATTATGATTAAGGGCTTGAGGTTTCGGGGTAAATTTTGAAGAGGCAAATTTGTTCCTACTAACTATTCTGCCTTTTAACTCTGAGTTGTCACTGGATGAAATATGGAATACAGCTTCCTTTGGGCTGCATAAACAACAGCAAGGAAGACTTGTGGAACAACAGAAACTATGAACGGGAAAGGACCAGAGGTCATGCACATAAGAATAATGGAGCTCAGAAATGCTGAATGACTCACCTAAGGACACAGAATCAGTGACTAAGACCAGGCCCCTCGTCACTCCCAACAGGCCTTTTCTCATCACACAATGCTGTTCGTAGAACATATGTGAGATCCTCAAGAACGTGGATCCTGCTATTTTTATTGAACATTTATTCTAAAGTAACCTTAAAACTATTAAAACAATATTTTACTGTATACAAATAAATACATGGGTAGAGGAGAAAATAAAAACCTTGCTAATTTAACATCCAGAGAGGAACACTGTTAAAAGGTTTATCATTCTAGTACTTTTCTTTCTTTTCTTTTTTTTTTTAAAAGATGACTGGTAAGGGGATCTTAACCCGACTTGGTGTTGTCAGCACCCTGCTCTCCCAAGTGAGCTAACCAGCCATCCCTATATAGGGATCTGAACCTGTGGCCTTGGTGTTATCAGCACCACACTCTCCCAAGTGAGCCACAGGCCAGCCCACATTCCAATACTTTTCTTTTTTCTTTTTTGGGGGCTGGCTGGTACAGGGGTTGAACCCTGGACCTTGGTATTATCAGCCCCACACTCTAACCAACTGAGCTAACTGGCCAGCCCTCCAGTACTTTTCTAAGCATTATATATATTAACAAATTGGAATTATACTGAATATTTGGTAAAAAGCATTTTTTCAGTTAATTAATTACAAGGATTTCCCCTCCATATCACTGAACATTTTAAAAAATGTTTTTAGTAACTGTGATGTATTTACTCATATATATATATATCATAATTTAATTAACAACCCATAGCTGGACATTTAGATTTCCAAGTTTCCACAATTACAAATAAAATTCCCATAAATATCACTTTAAATAAATCTCTCCAGGAATCTCTTTAGGATAAATTCTTAGAAGTGGAAAAACTAGATGAAAGGGAATTTTAAAAAATTTATTTTTAATTGTACATATTTGTGGGGTACTCTACAATGATTTACTTAGGGTAGACAGCATATCCATCACCTAAACATTTATATTTGTAGTGATTACAGGAAGAAGTATTTTCAAGGCTTTTGACACTTAATGTTAAAATGCATTCCAGAAAAGTTATATCAATTTATATCAGTGTTTGAGGGTTTCTCTGAATCACTGACAAACTGAATAGTATTTTTTTTTTAAAAGCCAATTTTATTTTTAAAACCATGTCTTATTTTACTACACAGTTTAAAAATATTAGTTAGCTTGATTATTTCTGTAACTACTTATTGGTCATTGTGTTTTACCTTGTGTGTCACTTAGGTCATGTCTTACTCATTTCTGTATCCTTAGTACCTAAAACAGGGGTTGGCACATAGTAGGCAATCAATAAATGTTGGTTAAATGTACAGGCTTAGATCACAGAAAGTTCTCAGTAACCTTTCTATTTCCACTCCAGAATGTTATAAAGTAGAACCTACATTAAAAAGATTTTGGATTTTTTTTTAAACATATACAAAATTAAAAGAATCCAATTACAGATATTTACTAAATTTAGAAGCAAGTCACAAGAAAGAGTTAAGTTTAATTTTACTTTGAAATCAACGTCTTTTTCTCTTTTGGTAATTAAAATGTCTCCAAATCAACATACTGTTTATTGATCCCCAGTTTTACAATACGAAATGACTGAAAGGGCTGATTCTTTGCCATTAATATAGCTAACACTGATTGAGTGCGTATCCGTGTACCAGGCATAACTCTATGAGTAAGTACTACTATTATCCTCACTTCAGGGGGCAGGAAAAAGCCTGAGAAAGGTTATGTGGCCTAAAGTCACAAAGCTTCTAAATGGCAGAGCCAGGACTTGAACCTTGGCTGGTCTGATTCCGAAGTCATTATGCTACAGATAGTACTACTTTTTTTTTTTTTTTGCAGCATTCTACTCAAATATTTATTTAGGAGATCAAAAAAGTTATCTCCATCTGTTCATTCTTTATAAAAATAACACATCTACTAATAATCACTATTTTGGTATAACTGAAAACAAGATGAATGAATACTATACAGTCTTTTCAATTAACACTCAAAAACAGTTATTTGAAAAGTCACCATTCATGGAATGGGGTGTGCAGGTCTTTCTCAAGAGCACTGCTATTAGAAGAGTTAAGTCAGAAAGTCTAAATTTAAACAATTAAAAATCACTGTTGTAAGGATTCCTCCCATCTAGGGTGGAGAGAACAGTCAACAGGAAGCTATAACACAGGATGGGGAGGGCCCCTCAACAGGATGTCTTCCTGAAAAAAAGGAAGACAGCACAGAGAGAGAAAGAGAGAGTAGAGGCGAAAGTTTATTTTCGGTGCTTCCAACCATCCCACCCCCAGTAAAATTTAAGAGATACTGGAATCTTGTGTTTCTTTTTTTTCCCGAGTTAAAGGATTTACATCTTTAAGGGAATGGTTCCTTGCCTGGGAATGGAACCCAGGCCATGGTGGTAAATGTGCTGAATCCACAGTCTGGAGTTGGAATCTTTCACACGCTATATTAGCTACATTATTTAAAGAAGAGAAAATAGTGGTAAATCAAAGTTGATTAAAAAAAATTAGACTTTTCCCCAAATATTTAATGTACATATTTTGGAGTGATGAATGATTGCATTTACTGAATGTACTTTTACTTCAAATACAATAATAACAAGCATTTTCAGGTAGGTAAACCTGGAATATGGCTTGGTTCTAGATTCTGAGAATCTTCCTGCAAAGAGTGGGATAAACATTTTATATTCTCCTTTCCTCTGCCAATTTTGCCAAAGATGGGTAACTGGCTTACATTACAATTTCCCAAGTCTTCAGGAAGGTGTGGGAACTAATGTTGTCCAAATATTAGGAGTGCAAGAATAATTACCAATCCAAATGTTTTTCTCTCCCTTGTTAAGTGGATTCAAGAATCTCTCAGAGCCAAACATAGATACTCAGACATCTGCGCACCAAGACATCTCTTTAAATGTAAAACCGTGATGCAGATGATCACCATAAAAAGCAGAAAACCATATGAAACTACACATGACTCATTCTTACCATCATTTAACTCCCTTGAGGCTGAGCTTAAGTTCTCAATTCTGGTTCCTTTATCCTTCTACCTGTGTCTTAAACCCACTCCTTTCCTTCTTTGCAAAATTCCTCTATCTTGCTGCCCTTTTTCAGTCTCCTCCCTACTCTCGCTCTTATCTCAAATCAGGACATTAATGCTAGAAATCATCTTGGAGATCACAGATTAAACCCTTCTTTGCAAATGAGAATTCTGAGGTCCAGGGTGGTTAATGTCTTTCCTAAGGTGCACAAGTTAGTGGAAGAGAGATAAAACTAGAACTCAGTCTTCTGACTACCTACCATGGTACGGTGCCCGGATCACCCTCAATTAGTTCCCCCAAAGTAGTCCCTTACTAGTAGTTTCATCCTACTCAGAGCTGTGAGAGAAACCTCAAAAGGTATGACTTACCTTGGAAGTTCTCCTTTTCACCCAGCAGGTGCACACAGATCACCTCAGTTTACCCTTCAAGGTCTTTCATCAGCTGTCATTCTGGGATGACACTCTCATAAATTTTTTGCCACTATCTATGGTATCTCATGTTTAAGCCCTCTCATGCCACTTGATGATGATGCGTCTGTGCCTTTGCACACATTTCTCCCACTTCAAATGCCTTACTATGCACCAATTCTTATCTTTCAAGGAAGTCTGGTCTTGTGGAGAGGTGGCTTTGAGAGAGTTCCAAATTACTTCTCATTGTATATTTTGTTTCTTTCTTCTAGGAGTTCTGTGCTTCACCAAGAAGCACAGGACTGACCAGATGTTAGATTTTATCACTACAAAGGAAACAGAGCTTTGTTCCTAAAAGATCTCATAATTCATCCAGTCTTTTTCTGGAACTCAGGATGATATTTCTTCCACAGCAAAATTATGCTGCTCACAGCAAAAATAAGTCTATTCAGTTAATATTGGTTCAAGAGCCTCTAAAAAAATAATTACAAGCAAAGGCCAATATTTATTTGTTTTGATTCCAAACAAGAATCTTCCTGCCTTAATTTTTTTATTCAAAAATTTTTTCACTTAGTATTTCCAACTTTAATGTGATCTGCCAATAAAATAAAATGAATACTGTATTGGATCTTTATCACTATGACCAACAAACATAGGATATAGCTTTTAGGATAATTATTATTTACAACAGAGAGTTTCTTTTACCTGGCTAAGAATTTTCATCCCAGAGTGCAATAACTTCTTTGCAGCTTTATAATAAATGGTCTCTGGTTTGTTGTAAATCATGGCATTAGTACACATTAGTTTGAAGTTATCCTGCAGAGAGAGTATTAAGAGGAGAAAGGCATTAAAACAAAACAAATGTCCACCTCCTGGTTTAAAACCACACAGGTTCTCTAAAAGTTTAAAAAAACAGCAACATCCATTTCTTTCACTTTTTATTAAACAACACTAATAGCAATTTATTAAGTTTTAAGACTTGCCAACAAGACAAATACTGCTAAATTATATTTTAAAATGCTATAACATTCTTTTCCAAATTCTTAAATATTTTATAGTACCTGTATATAAACTTTAGACACCAGAATGAAATTTTTAAATGGGTTTCTTCAGATAATTTTACTGCACATAAAAATAATTTAAAAAATATGCTTCTACCTCATATTTAATAATCTTAGCTGAGTAGTTCATGATTAAAAAAAATATTTCTCTCAGTTTTAAAACAAACACCTTAAATTTGTACTTAGGAGTTAAGTATTTTATTTCAGATCTTGACCAAAAATTGAGAAAAGTAAATTTTCACAATATTTCCTGCCAAATGCATATTAAATGCAAAAATGTTAAAACATTTACACTATTTTTAAGTGTAACTAAAAGAAACTAAACATCATAAACATCATAGACTAAACATCATTTGCAGAAGTTGCAAAATCATGCCAATGTGAAATAAACCATACCACCTCAAGGAGTTAAAACATGTAACTGGAGTAGCCGAATTATCAAAACTATATTTTTGGCTAAAATTTCAAAGTATATACATGTGCTAGAGAATTCAATCCCACTGCAGTTTTTCATGATTAAGTAATTATTACATCTAGGGCCGGCCCGGTGGCGCACTGGAGAGTGCGCCACTTGCGAGTGCGGCGGCGCTCTCGCCGGGGGTTCGGATCCCATGTGGAGACTGGTTCCCGCTCACTGGCTGAGTGCAGTGCAGGCGCAACACTGAGGGTTGCGATCCCGTTACCGGTCCCCGGTACGGGCGTGACACCTAGGGTTGCGATCCACCTAGGGTTGCGATCCCGTTACCGGTCAGTAAAAAAGACAAAAAAAGGGGGAAAAAAAAAAAGTAATTATTACATCTATAAATTTGAGAGTGATTACGCCAAGGTTTTACTAAGTTAAAATGATAAGAACCCAACAAAAAAGAACCCGCCCCCCCAAACTCCTCCAAATCCAAAACAAAA